GCGCGTCGACGTCCGGCGCGTCCGGCCGCTTCCGCTTCGTCGCTTTCTTGTCGCGGCCGCCGCGCGCCTCGGGCGCCGGCGCCGGCGCGTCGCGCGGCTCGCGCGGCGCCTCGGGCTCCTCGGGCTCCGGCTCGCCGGCGGCGCGGCGCTTCATCTTCGCGACGTTGCGCGCCATGGCCTCGCGCTCCTCGATCTCCTGCTCCTCCGCGGCGACCTCCGCCGCCGCCGCCTCGTCGCGCCGCACGCGCGCGATGTTCTCCGGGTTCCACACATTCCACGACTTCTTGGGCAGGATGATGAGGCGGCCCGACATCGTCGCCCTTCGAGCGCTTTACGGCGTATCCTGCAGGCGTGCGCGCGGTGCCGCAGGCGGTCTCGCGCCGCACCGGTGGGCGCTTGCGGCGCGATAGGCGCGACGTCGAGGCCCGTGTTGACGGAGTTGCCACAAGAGCAGGGTGATGGCAGCGAAGAAGAGCGCCTGAATCGACGCGTTTCACAAGCGAGAAGACCAGCTGAATCGCGCCTGAATCGACGCGTCTCACAAGAGACAAGACCAATGTCCGACAGCGAGAAGCGCGCCGCGGCGCTGCGCATGCAGATCGAGACGAAGCGCATGTTCGAGCGCTTCAAGGCGCGCCTCGCCCACATCAAGGACCGGCCGACGCCACCCTTCGAGACCGACACGCGGCGGCGCCTCTGGTGGGAGACGCTGCTCGTCGGCGGCGGCGGCGGCATCGCGACCATGGCGGCGCTGCGGTCCACGCGCGTCGGGCGGCTCCTGTCCGCCGTCGGCGGCGTCGTCAACGCGCAGGTCGTCGGCGCCGTGTGGTTCGGCTCTCGCGCGCCGGTTTTTTTCGAGGACATCGTGCGCCAGCCGGAGCGCTCGCCCTTCGTCGACGACGCGCTCTGCCCGACGCTGCTCGACTTCCAGAAGATCGCGCGCCACCCGGACTTTTCGCCCGCGCTCGAGGCGCCGGACGGCGCGTCGCCGCCCGCGTCGCCGCTCGTCCAGCGCATGTGGAGCCTCTGCGCGGACCGCGCGGGCCGCTTCCAGGCCGCGGACGACGAGGCCGCGGGCGACGCGCGCTGGGGGCGGCCCGCCGGCGCGAGCGACGGCTTCGCCGACGCCGGCTTCCCCGCCGGCGGCGGCGCGGCGCAGGAGTGGTACACGCCCCCGAGCGAGCCCGCCTGGGGCGACGACGCGCCCAAGACCGACACGCCGCCGCGCTAGAGGGAATGTAGGAAGCTTGGCCTGTTAAACGAGGTTGCCTTGCGGCCAGTGGCATGGCTCGGCGTGCCGCGGCGCCCTTGCTGGCAACGCGCGCCGCCGGCCACTACGCCGCCTCCCTCCAGACTAGAGCCTCGCCACTAGGAACGCGACGGCGTCGGCGAAGGGGAACCCCTTGCCGCCGTGGCCCGCGCCCGCGACGACGCGGAAGTCGACGGCGACGCCCGCGGCCTCGAGCGCGGAGGCCAGCCGCGCGCTCTGCTTCGTCGGCACGAGGCCGTCGTCGTCGCCGTGCGCGATGAAGAAGGGCGGCGCGCCCGCGTGCGCGGCGTTCACGGCCGACGCCGACGCCAGTCGCTCCTCGCGGTCCGGGGGCTGGCTGCCCGACCCGTCGAGCGCGAAGCCCGCGAGGCGCGACTCCGGAGCGCCGGCGCCGTAGCCCGCGGGCTTGGTCCCCGGGCGCAGGTTCGCCGGCGCTTGGCCGACGTCCTCGACGAGCGTCGCCAGATCCGTCGGCGGGAACATGGCGACGGCGGCCTTGATGGGAAGGTCGCGCGGCGGTTTCGTGCCGGCGGTCGCGACGTAGGCCGCCAGGAACGCGCCCGCGGACGACCCGAAGACGGCGAGCCGCGCCCCGTCGAGCCCGTGCGCTGCGCACCGCGCGCGGACGTCCTCGATGGCGGCGAACAAATCCTCGGACTGCGCGGGCCAGGTGACCGCCGCGTCCCCCCAGAGGCCCGCCTCCGTCGTGAGGCGGTAGCTGAGGAGCGCCACCGCGAACTCGCCGGCCTCGATGCCCGCGGCGAGCTGCTTCGGCGGCTTGGTCAGGTCGCGGCCGAACATGAAGGCGCCGCCGTGGATGGCGAAGACGACGGGGAAGCCCGCCGGCGGCGGCGGTGTTTTGGGCACGCAGAGCGCGTACTCGAGGCGCAGCGGCGCGAGGCCGAGGAACGCCGCCGTCTTGGGAACGACGCGGCGCAGCCACGGGTGGCGCTCGTCCGCCGGCGCGCCGCCGACGACGCACGGCACGACGTCGTAGGCCATGGCCATATCACACGACTCGGGCTGCCATGCTCTCCGAGAAATTCAACAAGAGCGGCACCACTGGCCTGGAGTCGCTTACTGCTAGCCCGGGCCTAGCCGAGACCCACGGGGGAACCGGACTCTCGCTGGGAGGAGCGCCTAGGCGCGTCGCGTCCGGGGTGAGGAACCCCAAAGAGCGCGCTGGTCCAGCGCTCTCGCTGCCTCGTGGCCGTCTGACGCCGGGCATGCCACCGGACCTGCCGCGTCCTCCCGCTCGGTCGACCGAACGGGGCTTCGCTGCCAGGGCAGCAGGCGGGGCTGCTGACCCCAGTCCGGCGGGGATCCCAACGCCCGGAGCCTCTCGGGACGTCGCGCACTCTGCCCAGACCCGAAGGCCAACCTCAGGGCAGGCGACGTGAGCTTGCGCGTCGTGGAGTGACGACGCGCGGATGTTCGAGCGCAGCACGCGCCGTCTTCGGCGCGGTGCGCGGGTTGTGGTGGGGGTGCCTTTGAGCCGGGCGGGGCTGCCTTGGACAAGAAGCAGCGGATTTTGGGACGACGCGCGTATAACCTACGCGCCCCCTGCCGCGCCCCCACGACCATGTCGGGGCTCCTCTTGACCCCCGGGATGTTGAAGGACCTGAACGAGGAGGGCACGCGCCTCAGCGAGGTGACGAAATCGTCGTCGACGCAGACCGTCGAGCGCGGCGCGGCGCCGAGCGCCAAGGGGAAGGGGAGGCCCGCCGCGGCCGCCCCGTCCCCGGACCCGGAGCGCACGACGGTCCCCGTCGGCTCGGCCGTGGGCGAGGAGCCGGCGATGGCGCCCCCCGCCGCCGCCCCGGAGAAGAAGAAGAAGCGCGAGCGGAAGAAGAAGGAGAAGAAAGCCGAACCGATCGCCGCGGACGCGCCGGGCGACGCCAAGCCCGACGGGAAAAAGCCGGGCAAGCCCGGCCCGCCGCCCGAGTCGCCGCAGCACTTCGCCTTCTCGGCGTTCCAGATCTCCCCGGAGCCGACCGCGCTGCCGAAGCCGTCGATGATGTCGAAACGGTGAGCGCCGCGGCGCGCAGAAGATACGCCGAGCTCCCCGACCGCACCGGCGGGAGCGCGGATGACCACAGCAGAAAAAATAGAAAACCCAGAGAAAAAAGCGAGGAACGTGAAAACGAAGTCCTCCGACGAAAGCCGGCATATTATTCAAACCCGGCCCGCGCGACGCGCCGCCGCGTCGCGCACCACACGAAGCCACCCTGAACACACACGACCCCCCACGCGCCCGAATCGCGCACCGACCCTCCCCCCCTTGAAGCCCCTGATACATACATACTGTGAGACTGGACCTCCGCGCCGCGGTTCCGCTCCTCCGCGCCGGCGACTCGTCCCGCAGTGGGCCGGCACGGCGTGGCTTCGTGCGCGGTCTCCCGGCTCCGCGGCGGCGATGTCGTGCGCTGGCGCCGACGGCGTTTCTAGACTGCTGCGCCGACGCGACTCGTCGAGCTGGCTTCGATCCCCGGCGGCGGCCTCGACCTCCGCGAGGCGAGGTGAGGACGAGCTCGCCGGCGCCGCGGCCAACTTGTCGACGCGCGCGCAGCGAACACGGCCCGTCTCGCCGTCGTCTCGTTCGCGCAGCGGAAGCCGCCGTCGTCGCTGCCAAAGTAGACGCACCCGCCCGAAAGCTCCCGCTCGCCGCCCGCTCGCCGCGCCGCGCCGCGCGCCCATGGCGACGGCCATGGACGTGTCCCACGCGCACCTCGGCGAGGCGGCGCCGCAGAGCGGCGACGTCACGGGCATCATCCGGCCGCCGCCGGACATCCGGGCCATCGTCGACAAGACGGCGCTCTTCGTCGCGCGGAACGGCAAGTCGTTCGAGGCGCGGATCCAGGCGTCGGCCGAGGGCCAGAGCAACAAGTTCGCGTTCATGCGGCCGAGCGACCCCTACAACGCCTACTACGAGTTCAAGATCCGCGAGGTCGAG